CTTGATAAAATCACATGAAAAGCTTTCGTGTTTATTCAAGACATCTTCAGACATCTTATCCACGTTTTCATTGTGGATCTACATGAAATATATATATATATATATATATATATATATATATATATATATATATATATATATATATATATATATATATATATATATATATATATATATATATATATATATATATATATATATATATATATATATATATATATATATATATATATATATATAAATACACTTTTCAGATAATAGTCCACGAGAACTACGTCGACAGTTACTTCTACTTAGGATACGACATTGCTCTGCTCCGTACCACAGTTGCTCTGGACTTCAGTAAGGATGAAGTGGGCCCAGTGTGCCTACCTTTTGATACCTCAATATCTTACGGCGGTGAAAATGCCATCATCGCTGGTTGGGGAAAAACTTCACACGGTCAGTACATACTATATTAAATATCTATTGAGCTCAACGAAAAGAAAAAGGTTTCGAAATGATAGAGTTTTGCCTTAAAATATCCATGTAAAAATTGAGGTTCCACGACATTTGCTCAAAAGACAAATGCTCACAAGGCATATGCTCACAAGACAAAACTAACCTAGCCTAAACTATCCTACCTAACCTGTCTATTAATGTTGTGAGTACTTGTCTTGTGAGCATTTGTCTTGTGATTGCTCTGTGAGCATTTGTCTTGTGAGCAAATGTCGGCACACCTGTAATAAAATTATCTTTGTTTGTCCATCTGCTATTGTAGTAATCACAGTGATATACTTAAAACTCCGTATACTTGAGTTTACATTAGGATATTCCCCAGAGTATTGATAGAGGCTCAAATAACACAGAAATAGTCACATAACATGTAAAATATTCATAAAAAACTGTTTAAGTGTAAATGTTGTCAATGATAAAGCTTGTTGTGAAGGTGTTTGTGGCTGAATAAGGTAATAATACACAAAACTACTTTGCCACTATTAAAATCATTGTTGCTCCTCGTCTTTTTTCAAGACATCTTCAGAGGCAATTAACTCTACATGGGGGAAGAGCGTATATGAAGGATAAATAACAGTACCAACTTTTGAATTATACCGGTCAACACAATTTTTCTGGCACAAGGTTTTTAAACGGATTTTAAGTAAATTTGGGGTGCAGAATCCAAATATGACTTTGGTTTTTGTCTATCACATCAGGTTTTTGAGATATACCATATTGCACTTTTGCTGGGAAACGTAAACTTTTGGATCAAAATTGACCGTTTAAACATGTATACATAAATTTTTTCAGCATTATAATTTGTATTTTTCTATAACCAAAAATTGTTAATATCAAATTGGAAAGTTAATGCACATATAATATTTAAATGTAACATTGAAGGGTGAAAAAAAACAATTAATGTACGGTAGAAATAGTGCAAGTATTAAGATCAATTTAGAGCTACATAAACTTCCTCTTTTTGGCCGATCTCTTATGTACAGCTTCTGGAATGTCTCTCATCAAACTCCAGCAGTAGTCCGCCATCATGTTCGAGTCCCATCGACCTTGGTAACGTTCTTCCATTACTTTAATGTCTTGATGAAAGCGCTCCCCTTGCTCCTCGCTCACTTCTCCCAGATTTTCTGGAAACTCGTCCAAGTGACTGTGTAAGTAGTGAACCTTGATACTCATTCTGCATCCAAGTGCTTGTAAACTCAAGAGCAGCTCTTCCACAATTTCTTGATAGTTGTCCGCTTTCTTGTTCCCTAAGAAGTTCCGCACCACATTAGAGAAAGCATTCCAAGTTCTTGCCTGTGCCTCAGTCATTGTTGCAAGGAAGTGTGGATCTCTGAGTAGTGTTCTTATTTGAGGTCCATCAAAAATCCCTGCCTTTTTCTTCTCGTCGCTAAGACTTGGAAAGGTTGAGCATATATATCTGAAACACTCTCCACTATGATCAAGAGCCTTGACGAATTGCTTCATGATACCAAGTTTTATGTGCAGAGGAGGAAGGACAATGTTTTTCCTGTCAACCAGAGGATCGTTAATGATATTCTTGTCACCAGGCGTCAAACTATGTCTTGGTGGCCAATTCTTTTTCACCCAATGGTCTGCTGTAGCCCTGCTGTCCCAGTAGCACAGAAAACAGGGGTATTTTGTGTACCCTCCTTGCTGGCCCAATAGAAAGTTTACCATTTTCAAGTCCACACAAATTAACCATTCATGAGCATGGTATTGCAACCTCTCTAGAACAGTCTTAATGTTTTCATACTCTTCTTTAATTTGTACAGAATGTCCGATTGGAATTGAACCATACTTGTTTCCGTTATGAAGAAGAACACATTTCAAGCTCCTTTTAGAACTGTCAATAAAAAGTCTCCAATCCTTACTATCATATGCTGGTAGTCCCATGGATAGAAGAAGTCCTTCTACATCATTACAAAAAACAAGCTGGTCATATGAATGAAAGTACTTCCGCAGTTGCTCTTCTCTGTTGCGATAAAAGGAGACACTCGTGCCAGGTTTTAAGAGTTGTTTCTCTTGAAGCCTGGAAGCTAACAATTCAGCAGACTGTTTTGGCAAATTTAGATCTCTGACCAGATCATTCAATTCTGACTGAGTAAACAACGTTGGCTTTTCACAATCTTCACCAGATGGCTTGAAAAGATCAGTCTCTTCATCTTCATCAGTAGAAACAGGTGAATTCCGGTCTATATCCTCAATCTCTGGTAGCTCAGTAAATTCTGGCACGTTACGTGATGGAGCAAATCTGAGATCAGATTTGGATTCAGCACCTTAAAGATAGTAAAAAACAGTTAAAAGGTTTCATGCCAGAAAAAAAAATATTTATTTGTAGACCAGTGTTATTAATCTTTGCTTCAGTTTAACCATACAAAGCAAAAAATATTAAAATTAACAATAGTTTAAATCCTACAGGTGAACATGCAAAGCTAGGCATGTATGTTACAATGATCAAGAACAAAACATACCTATTAAAAACAAAGTTATGAACTGGAGGAGTCGTGAGTGCCTTATACGGGTGGGTACTGCTGTACGCGGTGGGTGAGTGACTGATGGATGATTAGATGTGACACCAGTAAATTCGTGAAATTCATGAATATTTTAGTAATTTTATGTAATCAGTGTTTTGCTCTGGGACGACAAAATTACTCAAATATTTAGTAATTTCACAAAATACCTGAAACATTTTCAGGAATTTCACGAAATCACTGGTTTCACTCTCTTACTATAGCATACTCGTATATAATAACAACATATGGATAAAGAATCTGACAGTAAACCTACTGGCCTATGTCAGGCAGCTCCTAATTATCATTATCATCCATGTATCTGAACCTTCTCGGCGTTACTGCGTTGATGAAGGTAAATGAAAGTGACAGGTTACTTAAACCACCAAATCAAATCTAGATTACAAACATCACCTTCCATTCGTACATTTTAATCTTATGGTTTCCATTCGTCTCGGAAAAAAATTTAAATAAAATTTTATGTTGTTTCTATATGGAAAGCCAGGGGTTAACTTTATTATCTTCCCCTAAATGGATTCAAGAGAATCTGTATCCATTTTTTACTATGCAGTACGTATAGGACAGTGACCAAACTGAGTAGCATAAACAAGATCAGCTCACTAACTTTTGTTTATATATGTAAGATCTAGTAGTATAGTTGCTGCACTACGAATACATGTGTATTGTTGTCCTAACTTATTTATACCGAAAGAGTAATTAGGTCGTCTTCATCTGAATTAATTATGCTCCCTAATTCTGTGTCGCCAATATATTTACTTATGTTACAATCTATGCCTACATTGATGTCGTCTGTGTATATAGTGAAGAGTAACTGAGTCCTGGGGTAATATTTCACCCAGTTGGAATCTGTAACGTAAATTCTGACCTTCTGTTTCCTGTTCGTTACTCATGCCATTAGTCATTAATCAGCTCAAGGTTTTCAAGGTGATGACGAATCGAACCGATTGGAGGATTAACTGAGGTTACTGATCTGTTCCCTCCTCTTTTTTTTTAAATATATGTATCAGCTGTTTTATAATATTCCGGAGGAACGCCCGATTTTAGTGATATATTGACCGATATTCAGCAATTGACAGTTTTTCTTATCTTCTTAGACTCTAGCAATGTCTCTTCGCAATCTGGCGACATTTTTGGTTTTAATTTATCTATTTGTTTGTTAACTTCCTAATTAGTCGTTAGATATTCATATGACTGTAAACTTTCAGGCGTTTGTTTAGACTACTGATGAATAACTTTTATCATTTTGTAAAAACTTCCCTAATTTATTTAGTGATGAATACCTGTATCTTGTTTGGATATACATATTATTTACAGCAGAGTAAAGAGAAACTGGGAAATGTAAAGCTTCTCATTCACTCACAGCTCTTCAACAACCTTACTCATGCATAACATCATGATCACAAACGCACATTATGAGTACAGCGGTAACATGTGTATCTCTCTTGCTATGTCATGGCCAAGGACACAAGTGAGGAGGGTGTTATCCAGTGTGACACTGCACTACACTGTCAAACATGACAGGTTTCCTCTGGTATCATACCTTCCACCTATAATAACACTGGGCAACAAAGTTCATAACAAAGTAACAAAGAACAAACCAACTGCCCGAACGGCAAGTGAGATGATAAGTGGTGAAATGTTAAGTAACGGGGAGGGGGGGGGGAGGGATAATAAACCAACTTCCTCCATGAAATTGTGCAGAAAATATAATAACATTTTAAAATTTTTCTCCAGACAGCAACAACCTGCCAGGATACCTGATGGAGGCGGAGGTGCCAGTCTGGACCAATGCAAAATGCCATGAAAAGTATACGAACATTGATATTGACAATATCTTGATCTGTGCTGGAGGTTCAAACAAGGACACCTGCAATGTGAGTATTGTTAATACTGCCCTCGTCTTACATTACGTCAAACATTCGTTTTAAGATAGGGTAAAGTTAGTTTAGGTCAGGATTGTCCAATATATTCCACGCGGGCCATATTGGGGCCCGCCAAAGGTTTCTCTCCGGCCCACCAGCCTATATAGGTTTGCAGACACTTTTGTTTTAAACAATTTATGATTTGACAAAACAGTGTTTTTGTCAGAATCAATCAAATGGAAAGAGGACTTGCCACAGATGTAAGGAAGCACAAGCAGTCTTTCACAAATTTCCTGTCAGACAACGGGTTTCCTCACTTGACTATTGCTTTGACTATCACAAAAATGATCTTGATTTCTGCCTCGGAGATCTGAGTTGTGTCTTTGAAGAAATATCGCTACCCGAGTGCCCGATCACGTTTTGTATCAATGCGTCCACATAAATCTTCTCTCAACTGACAAGTGAGGCTGTAGATTTGTTTTTATGTGTTGAAGAACATTGACTCTTGATATTGAATTCCTAGTCAACTACAATCTTTTCTCGACATCGACACAATATGGCTCCCCTGTGTTCAATGACAACAAAAAATTTCTTTTGAACTCTCGACATTCAACATTTATTTTCCTCTTCTTTTCGGTAATCATGGTAGTTGCCATCTTTCTTTTCATAAATGCAATTAAATAGCTGGGAATTATTAGTATTTTATCTTGTGATAAGTATTAATAAATCAGCGGCTGACTGGTGACACATGCAACGATGTTGACTGGCATTCGCTGGCATTGGCTGTACATGTAGCCGTAGGAAGTAAAACTGAAACATCTCTAAAAAGTCGCTAAACATACCCAGGTCGGTACGGTGCTTGAAGATAGGAACATCATGAATGAAGCCAAGAGGTGTATAATGACCTAAAGCTTAAGCTGTTGGACCATATTTGGTGACCTTTCACAGCAACAGCCTATTACAGTTTTTCTTCAATTTCAACAGTTTATTCCATATTATAGGAAACGGGGTCCTAGTGTTATCACTAGGTACCCCTGTACAATTTTACCAGAAGCATTTGGCAGGAATCTCAAGTATATCTAAATTAAATAATATAAAGTTATTTACTATAGCCTAAGGAAGGAAAGACATTCTTACAGAATAACATCAATATTATTTATGAAATATCTGGCCAGCCTACAGGTGATAAGCATCGTGCTTCCGTCAGAAGGTCGTGGAGTGGTGGTCCAGCAGGCGTCAGGGTAGTGTTGTGTGTGGGAACATCTTAGTATGTAGTGGATGGGTGTGCGGCTGTCTGTTCTCTTGTTTAGTACACAAGCACGTTGCTCGGGGGAGGTGGAGATACCAATCTCCCAAGAAAAATCGTACCCGATGATGAATCGAGCAGCAATCACACCCCTCTTCCGTGATCCTTTCCCGTATATATACGAGAAGTCAGGAAGTTTTCGGAGGGCATCGTAGTAGGTGGGCGGGGAGTCCAAGGGAATGGCCTCTCTCTGTTTGTGTCGAATTTGTGCACTAATTTGTCGAATTGTTTGAGGGACAACATAATCAGGTGTGACCTTGTTAGAACCGTATTGGCAAGTCTATCTGCTGCCTCATTCCCGAGATACCAACATGACTTGGTATCCACAGGAATGTCATTGAACGACCTGCATCCTGAAGTGAGGACGTTAGCCTTCGTATTCGAAAGATGAGGTCCTTGTTCTCCCTTGATCCAGATGCGATCCCATGGAGAGTACACAAAGAATCACAGCAGACAAGCAAGGGATGGGGTCCCAAGGTTTCTTCCTCAGCGAGGAAAACAGCAAGGAGGGCTATCAGCTCGTCATGAGTGGAGGATGCCCTGTATGAAACTCTGAGAGAGAGCTCAACAGGTTCTAGGACACCAGGACAGGAGATGTAGCACCAGCCCCGGCCCTACTTGTAGAAGGGTCAACAAAGCCATCGGTGTAGAGCACGATCCCACCTGGGGACTAGTGAACGATCCTGGAGAGGTGATATGCGAGGAGATGAGCGGGGATCATTTGAAATTTCGGGAACAGTTCACCGAAGGTAATCACTTCAGGCTGAAAATCCAACCAGTTTGAAGGAGAGGCACCAACAGTAGGGGTGACAACAATATCAGACAAGAGGTCGTTTTCTTGAATGGTCTTGGATGAGTGACCCTTGCCACTGACTTTTAGATGGAGGTCGTCCTCGGAGAGCCAGGGTTAAGGAGGCTTGGACAAAGTTACCTCGGGGATTTCGTAGAATGGAAAGAGCGGCTACAAGGATGATACGAGCATCTTTCTTCTGTATAACTTCAAGACGGTTGACAACCGTTCTATTAATGTTGAAAAGGGCCGAGGCGGCGTAGTCACCACAGGAATGGACAAGGGACTTGTACATGGAAAGAAGCACAGGGATGGTCGCACTAAAGGGACCTCTGCACATGGTAGAGAAGACGCTAGACGTCGAAAACTTTAGGGATCTGACAACGTGTGCAAGTAACGTACACACCAAGGCATTTTATCTCATTAACCCAATTCAGGGGTGTCTCTGACAGGAGAAGTTAGGAGGAACAACACGACCGTGCCACATGGCTTTTGTTTTCGCTATCGAAAGTCGAAAACCAAATGAGTCACACTCTCTGGAGACCATATAACGGCCTCCTGCATGCTGGGGAGGTCAATAGCTTGGGGAGGACATCGTCGGCGTATCCTGAGGAGACAACTCTTGTCGGCCACGGGAGAGAAGCAACTGAGTGCATGAGAATGTTGAACAAAGTGGAACTCTACCTTGAGGGGACATAACCTTCAACGTTAACCTGTGCTTGACGTCCAGTAAGGTAATAGGAAATCCATCGAAGAATGACGCCCTTTAACTCCTGAATGCGCAAGTTCAGATAAAGTGGGTGCAGGATGAGCCATATCAAGGGCTTCTTTGATGCCAAGGAAGACTGAGACATGTGCAGTCAGGTTACAATAATAAAAAACAATGGAGTATGCTGTGTTACAATTTTGTATGAATCCATTGAGATATTGTGGAAGCCGCCTATGGTGTAAAGAAAGCGACGGTGGAGTATCCTCTCCATCATCTTGCAAACACGTGAGATGAGGCGAATAGGGCAATATTTTTCGGGGTCTCCAGGCTTAGGGAGAGGGATAATAGTCGCATTTTTCCAGTTAGACGGAAGAACCCAGTTACAAAAGACATTTGTAGAGAGTGAGTAAGGGGACACCAGGAATATTAGTTCAAGCTCGGGCTGTGTGAGGGGTTGATCGGCGGAAGCAGGAGAGGTAAGAGCAGCATGAACAACAGGTTCAAATACATCAACGCGAGCCTGCACTGCTTCCTGAAGGGAATCTGGAAGTTCCTCAAGGGAGGAAGCCCCTCGTCCAGTCCTCCATTAAAGCGCTGGCAAGGATGGCAGGTTCAGGGTGGGGAGGAGGCCTCCGTCTAGTACCCCGTATAGAGTTAATCCTATTCCAGATTCTTTGGGCCGTCAAAGACGGCGGCAACAGCTGTATTTTCTGTTCATCCTCACATCTTGCTCTTTATAATAGGTACACACCACTAACATATAACAAGAACAAACTTAGAAGGTAACCCAATAACTAAAATTAAGTAGATTTTTTTATTGTATATAAAATATTTATTTTTCTTGTCTTAAAATAAGTGAACAATTAATATTTTTCTATTTGTGAGTAATTTGAAAATTATCCAAAGATAAATAGGAAGCTTTCCCTGCCTTAATAATATATATCAGTGGGAATATATATATATTCTGAGTCAAAAGTAATTTTAGTCCTTCGCGCTGCGCCTCCCAGGTTAAGTACCACTGGTATAGAATAAAATGGTTAATCAGAATTACCAAGTTTTAAGGGAAATGACAAGTTATTAGAGTAGGAGTTGAATTAAATAAGTAACTCCAAGTACATTTAAATAAGCATACCATTGGTACAATCTTCACTACCTCCACGAGATGGCCAAGATTGTATTACTGAGTACTAAAAGAGTGTAACACGTGAAATATGTTGGTATGTTTCAGGGTGATTCAGGAGGTCCACTGATGTTTAATAATAACGGCAACTACGAAGTCATTGGTATTGTGTCATTTGGTGTTGTCTGCGGTGAATCCAGTTATCCTGGAGTGTTCACCAGAGTTACCAGTAAGTACAACATGGGCTCTATCTCCTGACCTGCAGTGTTCACCAGGGTTACCAGTAAGTACAACACAGGTAAAATCTCCTGACTTGCAGTGTTCACCAGGGTTACCAGTAAGTACAACACGGGCTCTATCTCCTGAGCTGCAGTGTTCACCAGAGTTACCAGTAAGCACAACACGGGCTCTATCTCCTGAGCTGCAGTGTTCACCAGAGTTACCAGTAAGTACAACACGGGCTCTATCTCCTGACCAGCAGTGTTCACCAGAGTTACCAGTAAGTACAACACGGGCTCTATCTCCTGACCAGCAGTGTTCACCAGAGTTACCAGTAAGTACAACACGGGCTCTATCTCCTGACCTGCAGTGTTCACCAGGGTTACCAGTAAGTACAACACGGGCTCTATCTCCTGAGCTGCAGTGTTCACCAGAGTTACCAGTAAGTACAACACGGGCTCTATCTCCTGACCAGCAGTGTTCACCAGAGTTACGAGTAAGTACAACACGGGCTCTATCTCCTGACCAGCAGTGTTCACCAGAGTTACCAGTAAGTACAACACGGACTCTATCTCCTGACCTGCAGTGTTCACCAGAGTTACCAGTAAGTACAACACGGGCTCTATCTCCTGACCAGCAGTGTTCACCAGAGTTACCAGTAAGTACAACACTAACTCTTGCTCTCTGTCATACGAATATGGCACTAATTTTCGTCTCCGCTCTCTCACTCAGCCTCCAATACAGACTTTGTTGTTTACTCTACAATCATAATGTTCTCGTTTTTGTCTCACTATTAAACTTGCACTGCTCTTGTGTTGTTGATATTTTAGTAATGGAAGTATGACTAGGGTGTGTTTTCCTGGGGCTGGGATAGGGCATGTAGCTGAGAGGATAGATAGGGTTTTGTCAGGGGAGGGTACCAAGCCAGTAGTGTGTCTTAGTGTAGGAGGTAACGACATAGGAAAGGTTAGGACTAAGGAACTTTTCAATAGGTATAGGGAGGCGCGAGGGAAGGTTAGAGATAGGGAAGGGATCCCGGTAGTATGTGGTGTCTTGCCTAGAAGAGGAGTTGGCGGTGAATGGCTGTCCAGGGCAATTGCTATATATTGCTGACTGGAAAAACATTGTGTAAGCAATGGTTAAGAGTTCATTAATAACTGGCAACCATTCTATGGCAACGACTACCCGTACATTCGTGACAGAGTACACTTGTCTCGCGAGGGGTTAAGACGTTGTCTGCATTCCTGGAGCGTAAAATTGTCACTCCAAAGTGGGGGGTTTCGCAAGTAGAGAGAGGTCAGGGTAAGTGGGAGTCAAAAAACACCAGGTCCTGGGGAGTAGAATTTGTTACTAAGGACAAAGGGTAAAACAGAAACAGGGAAGGGTAGGTTTAAATGTATACTATACAAACAGCAGGATTGTTAGAAATAAAATAGACTTGCTGAGAGTGATTGTATTTACCGAAAATTTAGACGTCATAGCAATCACCGAAACTTGGATGAATCTGGCGAGCATGAACTTTTTATCAGAGTAACACATTCTGTATAAAGGTACAACCTTTTCCACAAGGACGGGGAAGGTGGGAAGGAGGGAGGGGTTGCACTCTTCGTCAGGGATACATTAAAATATTTTATTAATAATTCAATAAAGGGTGAAATAGGAACCGAGTCTGTATGGGTAGAAATTGCGGAAGGAAGAGAAAAACTAATTATGGGAGTGATTTACAGACCCCAAAGTTTTAGGAAAGAAGCAGCTCAGCCCATATGGCAGGAAATGAGTTGGGCAGCAAAATACAACAAACTGTGCATTATGGGGGATTTCAACTTCAGAAATATTGACTGGGATAGCATTAAAGGCGACTATAAATCTG